TCTGGACCTTCATGCATCAATTCCCCCAGGGCTATCTTTCCTGCACAATGCCTCCTAGCCAGTGACAGCCCCCACCAACACTGGTCCATTAGCATCCAACACAGCTCAATCAGCATTTCAAACTGGTGTCCCAGGGGAACCATGGTCAACGAGCAACCTGGTCTAGTGGGAAGTGTCCCTGCCCATAGCAGGGCAGTGGGATGGATGGTTCCTTCCAATCCAAACCATTCTGGGATTCTGTGGTTTCCTCCTGCAAACCGAGCTGCCTTCACCCCAGGCCAGGCTCAAGAGCAGCACAGCACACTCAGCCTCAGCAGTGACAGCTCAGAGATGTCCCCAGCCACAGGGGTTCATGGCTGCTCAGAGCATGTGCCTGCAGCAGCAGCATTAACCTTTTCTGAGGCCTCTGGCTAATTTGGGCTTCACAAACATGGGGATTTTCAACCCTCCCCCTTTGCCAGGCTGGAAAGAGGAGCTCCAAGAGCTTAAGTGTCACAACTTTGCTGTCTCAGCAACTGGATTTTATGCAGCAGCTAGTGGGCAGGCTCAGGTGGGCAGAGTCTCCAGTGGGGCAGGTAGGGAGCCCTGAGTGCAGCCTGGGAAGGGACACAGCCCTGCAGGAGCCAGGGTGAACAGGATCTTGGACAGCTTGTCAGGAGATGATAAGGGGACTACCATTACCCTGGCTCTCAGCACCCACTGTCAAAGCCCAAAACACCTCTTGGGGCTTCCCCTGGGAGGAAGAGCCTACTCCAGCCACAGCCAGCCCCAGCAGCACAGGCAGGAAGCAGAAGTTTCAGGCAGGCAGGGAAAAAGGAGCTTTCCCAAAGCCACGCTCATAAAAGCAAACGCTGCAGATGTCTGATGGGTTTATAATGCAGCCCTGGCAGCCCAGCTGCCTCCCACTGATTTACTATGGCACTAAACCTCTCCCTGTCTCCTGGGCTGCCTTCAGAACAGCTCTGCCTCCCTGAACTTGCAGGCTCACACACATTCACCAGCTCTGCAGCAGAAGTCATTCAAGTCTCTATTCCAGAGGTGCCAGGGATACTCATCCATAATCACCACAAGCAGCTCTGGAGAGCCACTGTCCTCTCAGCGGGCTGGGGGTGACTTGGGAGCTCTGTTTCTTTATCAGGAACAGGACTTTTAGCTGTACCCTGGCACAGCAGACCTGAGTCAGCTTGTGGCCTTGGAAAACACGCTGAGATGTATCCCCACCCTGGAGCACACCCAGAAAACAACAATTTTCCCCTGCAGAGGGGATGGGGGATGCTCCTGGCTGCAAATCAGCCCTGCTGCCAGTCCCTTTTGTCCCCTCCAAGGCCAGTTCCCTGTTCTGTGCTGCCAGAAGGCTGGGGGCAGCGAGCACTTCCCTCTTCCTTTGGGTTATTTTTACAGCAACGCTGTGCCGAGCTGCAGACGGGTAACTGAAAGGGTAAAGCCAGGCTGCAGCCATCCCTGCTCCCTCCTCTTCCCCACACTCTGCCAGGGCTGGCTCTGGGTCCCAGTGGAGCCACAGAATCCACCCAGGAACACCTAAAGGGGCTGTGGCCTGGGCCAGCACCAGGCAGGACCCTGTGGTCCCCAAATCCTTCAGTCCCACCCAGATGCCATGGTGGGAGGTGGGCTGACAGGGGGAGCCAGTGGTTTAATATTTTTAAGACCCCTAAAAGCTGTTCCTGAGAATGGTAGAAAGCAATGGAGAAGAAGAACCCTAGGGCTCCAGTGGGTTTTGGAGGCACCAGGACTTCCAGAGGAGGCTGTGCAATGAGACAGCTCAGAAAACCCCACTGTCACAGGATGGGCGTGGGTTACCTGGTCCCAGGAGAAGGGAGGGCAGGCTGGGGAGCCAGGGACAAGGAAACTGAGGACAGAGCACAGCCCCTAAGGTCACACAGCCCAGCACAAAAGACACCACGTGCACAAACAACCCAGTTCTCCTCCTAGAGATGCCCTGTGTCCACAGGGGAGGTTTCCTGACGAAGCCAGAGGCTGGGCAAGCTCTGATGTGCCCCCACTTAGCGGTGCCAGAAGCAGCCCCCGGGTGCAGTGCCAGCCTACCTGCAGGATGTAGTTCTTCCAGAGCAGCAACCTGAACTGCCTGAGCAGAACCATCCTCTCATCAGAAGGGGCCCAGCGCAGGACCCTGGAGGAGAGAGAGGAGAGAGCTGTGAGTGCCAGCTGCTGGTGGAGCTGGGCACAGGAGGGCAGCATCCCACATCCCACACAGCCCAGGGCAGCAGGAGGGCAGCATCCCACACCCCACACAGCCCAGGGCAGCAGGAGGGCAGCATCCCACACCCCACTAGGCCCAGGGCAGCTCTCTGCTCCCAGCCTGGAGCAGACAGCTTCACCCCAAAAGTAACCATCATGCTCCCTCTCCTAAGAGTAAGTGCCCCCGGTTTCTGGCATGGCTGCTCCCAGAGATGGAAGCTGCTGTTTCAGTACCCAGCCCTGGGTCCTTCCCAGCAGCTTTCCTCAAACTGCAGGAGCCCAGGGTTACAGAACCACAAACACCGGCCCCGGGAAGGCTGTCAAACTCTTGGCAGCCTATTATTTTGGGATGGGTGGAGATTGCAGGCTGTGCCTCCACCCCCTGTGTGAAGAGTTGGTTCTGCAACTGAAGAGTTGGTTCTGCAACACCGGGTGCTTTCCCAGCAGAAACTCTGCTGGGAGAGGCAAGGATGAGAAAAGGGCAAGCGAAGCACAGGGGAAGGTCGGCGCTCGAGAATGATCCCCCGCTGCCTCCTCCCCCTCTCGGGAAGCATCCGCCGTCCCTTCAAGTTGTTTGTGTCTCCATTTGCAGTGGCATTTCCTGACGGAGCACTGCTATCCCACCAGGACACTGGCTGGGATTTTGGGCTTGCAGAGCAGCACGGAGGAGGAAGGGGCAGCCCTGGCACCAGCAGAGGCTCCTGCCCGCACTGCCGGACTCGGGGCAGCCCCCATGGAGCAGTGCCAGCCTCTGAGCACGGCAAACCCTGACAGGATCACAGTGGGCAGCTGTGGGGTCAGCTCTGAGCTGCTGCTCCAAAGCCTGGCAGCAGTGAAGGTGCCACGGGGACACAGGGGGGCACAGAACCCACGAGCAGTGCCCTGGCAGGCGCTCCACAGCAGGTTGAGCAGGGGTTTCAGGGTGCCCCAGTGAGAGGAGGGAGGTTGCTGACCCACCCTGCCAACCTCAGCTCCCGGGCTGGTGAGCACACACAGCGAGCACAGCTCCGGTGGCAACAGAGCTGCAGCAACCTGAGACACACAGGGCACAGCAACAACACCGCCCTGCCCCACCTGCCCTCTGCCCCCAGCTCCTTCAGCTCTCCAGGAGCCTTCTCCAGCCTTGGCACACACCTTCCAGCCCCAACCCTGAACCAGGAGCCCTTTCCTGCCCTGGCACACACCTCCCCAAGCTCAATCCTAAACCAGCAGCCTTCTCCAGCCTTGGCACACACCTTCCAGCGCCAATTCTGAACCAGGAGCCTTCTCCAGCCTTGGCACACACCTTCCAGCCCCAACCCCGAACCAGGAGCCTTCTCCTGTTTGGCACACACCTTCCAGCCCCAAGCCTGAACCCAGGAGCCTTCTCCTGCCCTGGCACACACCTTCCCAGGCTCAACCCTAAACCAGGAGCCCTCTCCTGCCTTGGCACACACCTTCCAGCCCCAACCCTAAACCAGCAGCCTTCTCCTGGCTTTGCAAGCACCTTCCCAGCCCCAATGCTAAACTCAGATGTGTTCTCAGAGCACAAAAACCCCACCAGCTCTTTGCCACTCCATGCACAGAAGACAGATTCCCACAACAGCAGGGACATCTGTGTTCAAGGATCTTTCTCTAGGCAGGAAAAAGCAGAAATCTTGTGCTACAGCCCCAAAAAGTCCACCAGAATCCCACCCAGAGCAAGCAGGAAAGGAATAGCAATGGGGACTTGGTAAAGGCATCTTCAGGTGCCTCCCGAAGTGCCTTGTCTCCAGCTGGCCTCTGGTCCACGTGTGGCCAGGCAGAACATCCATGCTGTGCCCCAGGATCCCTTAGCAGGTCCCCAGAGCAGCACCTGAAGTGCCCCAAATAAGCCCCCCAGCCCCAAGCGGAAACCTTTGTTCTGCACCCTCCTGAAGGAATCCGGAGCAAACCAAGGGAATCCAAGCTGTGGCTCACTTTAAAGGACGAATGCTGCAGGTGAGGCAGGAGCAGCTGCTGATCCCAAACCCTGCTGGCCCCGCCGCACCCTCCAACTCAAGCTGCCCCCCCGGCCACCCCACGGGCCTTACAGCTGCTGCTGGGAAAATGTCAAGCAGCTCTTGGGTAACACAAACACTATACAGAGACTGAAAACTGCATTATTGCCAATAAATATTTTCCAAGCTTTTAAGTGTTCCAAGAAAACTCGTTCTGGACCTTTCGCTTGCTGGAGATGAGAGGAGGAAGAAGAAAAGTTACAAAAGTTCTTGCTGAATTTGACAGCAAAAATGGTTTTCCAGGCTCTAGTACCCAAAGCACAAATTTTTTTTTGCAACCCAAGAGAGAAAACCTGTTAACCTGTTTTGGGAGGTGCTGCCTGGATCAGTCCTGAGATGTCCATGATCAGAGGACAGAACAGGGCCTGGGTCCATGTCTGGGCCCATCTTCGGCAGTAAGGGAGGGCTGAATGCCACAGGTGGATGATGAGCTCAGAGGCAACAAGGTGCCCTGCTGGACAGCACATTGGGCTGTGCCAGCCAGAGATGCTCCCACCTGACCTCAAGCACCACAAGATAAGACTGAATTTCCCACCAAAAGGCAGGGCCAAAGATCTGGAGGAGAGAGAGGCAACCACCACCAGCTTCAGGGAGAGTAACCCAGTTCCTCTCCCTGCTGAGGAGCTCCTCCCTTCCTCCTCCCTGGAGGAAGGCTCTCCTGAATACATGAGTGTGGACACACCCTCACCATCCTCAGGGAGGTCAGTGAGGAAGGAGACACTCCTGCCTGCCCACAGCCTACATGAGTGGATAGGAGACTGCTCCTCACCACCTGGTCCCCACCAGCCCCTGCCGCAGTACCAGGCTGTGCCATAACGTGGTGGCACCAGCTGCCAGCCTGGACCAGAGCCGTTGTGCCAGTGGATTTAGATGAGGACAGGCTGAGCACTGGCAGGGATCGAGGCCACAGCATCCCACCTCCTGACCCACTTCCAGCGCCTCGCTGCTGGGAGGTGGCTGTGCCCGGCCACCGCCTCAGCGGAAAGGGCCGAGCAAAGGCCACGTGCTCCCGGGAGCCTGCAGTTATTTTAGAGCACACACCGCAGTTCTGCTCTTCTGATGTCCCGTTCCCATAGAAACCAGCCCTGCAAATGGCAGACGTTGCCTTTTTTAATATAAACCCGGTGTTTCTTCCTGCTGGTTGACAGAGACACCGTGTCACCCCTACAAGATGAGCTGCCAGGTGCCCACACCTCCACAGCTGTGCCCGGGGTGGTGGCATCACACACCTGGCGAGGGCTGTCAGTCCCTGGGTACTTTCCACACTGTCACTGGAGCAGGAAACTCCTCTCTGCTCCCCACAGTGTCTGTGCTGGAAATTATTCAGCCATAGCAGGGCAAGGACTTTTTATGGCCACTGTTTACAGGAAGAGCGAGTGATTTCCGAGGCGGGTGCATCTAGAAAGTCCCAGGTCCTGCAAAGAGCAACCAGGGCCAGCTGCCACCAGACCAGCCATGAGTGTTCAGTAACACACAGCTCTAACTGCTGGGCTGTTTTCACCTTCTCAGTGTTCACAGAGATCTGGGAGTCACAGCAGAGCGAGACCATAAAAACCTCACCTTGGTTGTGCAAACAGTAATAAAACTTTCTAAGTGGCTCTGTAAGGCTGGTGGGGTGGTGGGTGCAGCAGGGACCAGTGACCTCACAGCCCTCTACAAACCCAACACCAAGTGTCCGACAGAGACGTGAGTCTGGGTTTGACCCAGACAGGAACTTCAGGCCTTGAAATAAAAAAGAAAGCTGGGGCTAGATCCTGTTTGCAGAATGTGGGATTGGATTGTGCCCAGCTGCTGCCCTGCAATGGGGGTGGGTCGGTGGGCATAGGGAGCCTGATGGGCTCTACGGTTGCATCTGTAACTGCCTTTGTGCTGGGGCAGCAGCAGGAGAGAGGGGACAAAACTGCTGCAAGAGCTCGTCATACCCTTTGCCTTAAAAACTACATCACTGGTTTGCCTAGTGAGTTTGCAGTTGCTCATAAAAAGACAAACTCTGCAAACTCACAGGCGTTATGAATTTAGCAAGAACAAGGGGCTGGAGCCCAACACACAGGTTTCTCATGGACCCTGGCACAGCCCTGCTCCTGCCCTGCAGTTCTCAGTGGCTGGGCAGGACAGGCCACCTGGGCAGCTGTGAGCAGAGGATGGGGAGATCCCTTCTGCTTCTACTTGGTTATGAACATTTCCAGGGATGGGGACTCCACCACACTCCTGGGCAGCCTGTTCCAGTGCCTGACCACCCTTTCCGTGAAGAAATTTTCCCAATATCCAACCTAAACTTGCCGTGGCACGACCTGAAGCTGTTTTCTCTTGTTCCATCACTTGTTCCCATGCAGCAGAGTCCGATCCCCACCTGGCTGCGCCCTCCCATCAGGGAGTTGTGGACTGAGAAGGTCTCTCCTGGACCTCCTTTTCTTCAGGCTGAGCCCTCCCAGCTGCTCCTCATTAGACCTGTGCTCCAGACCCTTCCCCAGATCCGTTCCCTTCCCCCGACACGCTCCAGCCCATCAAAGTCTGCCTTGGCACGAGAGACTCTCTCATACCGAGCCAGGGCCCGGGGCGCAGAGTGGGCAGTGCCCACCCGGTGCCCGCAGCGCCGTGTCCGTTCCCGGCAGGGAGGGGCGGCCCGAGCTCCCCCGGGATGCCGGCGGGTCCGAGCCAGGCGCATCCCCCGAGCGCGGCCGAGCATCCCCGCGCGGCGCCGCCTCCATCCGCCGCAGCCCACGGGGGACGCGACCCTTGCGGGCCCGCGCAGGAGCCACCGCCGGCATGGAGCCCGAGCCGCCCCGGAGCGCGGAGGCGGCAGCGGGAGGAGCCGGCCGAGGGCCCCGGAGCTGCCGCAGCTCCGGGCGGGGCCGCCGAGCGGACAAGAGGCCGCGGCCCCACGCATCTCCCGTCCGGCCCGACCCCCCCGCTACTGCCACCATCACCCCCCGATGCTCATCGCCCCCCGGAGCCCACCACCCCTCGTGCCGGTGCTGGTTCCGGCACCCATCGCCCCCCCGCTCACTCACCGGGCCGGGCAGCTCCGGCTGCGGCTCCGGCTCCGTGCGGCCCCACCCGCGCCCGCCGCGGGACCGCGGCACCGCGCACGCGCCGGGGGCGGGACCCGAGCGGGGCGGGACCGTGGGAGGGTCCGGAAAAGAGAGAGAGTGTGTGTGTGTGTGTGTGTGTGTGTGTCACACACACGTCTTAGTGCACACATGTGTGCCACTGTTTACTTTTTGCGGTTTTTATGTGTCTGCCCGTGTGTCCGTGCCCGTGTGTGTCATCATGTGTGTGCATGGCACGCGTGTAGTACTCTGAAGGTATCTGTGAGGTGTGTGTGTGTACACATCCTTCTGGGTGTGAACTCTCAGTGTGTGCCTGCACCCCGCTGGGCAGTACATGCACCAGTGTGTGTGTGTGCGCAGGGCATTGTGCACCTGTGTGTGCCCCAGGCATTGCCCGTGTGCCAGCTGGCTGTGGCTGCGTGGCTGTGTGTGCACCCATGCCAGTGTGAGTGCACACCTGGGCATTCCACAGCTGTGTGCACGTGCACTGGGCATTGCACGTGTGCCAGGTGTGGGACGCAACACAAATTCACATGTGCCCACTTAGACACCCGAGTGTGTGCAAGCGGCCGTGTGTGCAGGGCTGTGTCTGTGTAGAGGCTTGTATGTGTAGGGCTCTGTGTGTGTGTGTGTGTGTGTGTAGGGGCTGTGTGTGTGTGTGTGTGTGTGTGTGTCTGTGTGTGTGTGTAGGGCTGTGTGTGTGCAGCGGCCCCCACGTGTCCGTGACAGGAGCTCTCACACTGTGGGGGGCAGTGGCTGTGAGCAGCCGTGGTGGTTCCGGGTGCGGGGTCAGTCCATCCCTGCATGGGCATGGTCAGTGTGCCGTGTCCGTCTGTCCGCCCACGCCGCTCCCGAGCAGCAGCACTCCACACGGGCCCTGCCCTGGTGCCCCGGTTTGTGGAAGCAGGTGCCAGCTCCGTGCGTGGGAATGCGGAGCCACTCCAGGGGGCAGGTGGAGCGCTCCCGATAAGGATCAAAGTGCCGGTGCTGGAGTGGGCTCACAGTGAATGTGCTGCCCTGCCCGTCCTGCCCGCTGCCTGCCAAGCTGGCAGGAGAAGGTGCTGCTGGTGCTGAGAGCACCAAAGTGGGGAAAGTTTGCACAGTGCGGGCAGAGGGAGGAGGAAGAGAAGGGTGGGGAAAGGGGACTGCGGTGAGGACAAGGACAGCCGTGGCTTGAGGCAACTCTACTGAACAAGGGACATGGGGGACCTTGGGTGCTGTTACTGCTGGGGGATTAGGGGGTGCCCCAGTGAACACAGCCCACCCCAGGCTATGACAGGCAGGAAGCAAAGCAGCCCCCAGCCACTGCCTTTTTCCACATGACAAAGAGAAGGAATTCAGACATCAGAACAGGCTGCCGAAAGAAGTGTGGAGTCCCTGGAAGTGTTCAAAAATCATGTGGATGTGGCACTTGGGGACATGTTTTAGTGGTGGCCTTGGCAGTGCTGGAGAAAGAGGTGGACTTGAGCTTAGAGAGCTTTTTCAACCTAAATGATTCTGTAATTCTATGATTCTATATTTTTTGGGGGGAGCTCCATGTAGCTGAATGCCACAGTGATGGCTTTGAGTACGACTGCTTTGGAAACCTGTGTTCCTCTCTGATCTTGGGGATTTGTAGCCACTTTCTGGACCCTGGTTAGCCCTTGGGAGAGGAGGAAATGAACTGAGAACCAGGGCAAGGGTGAAGGTGCAATGGGAACAGGAATCAGCAGCATTGGTGTTAAGATGAGGCCAGAGAGTGGCACTTGTGACTGCACTGCCAGGGCCCCCTGAGCTGGGAGACCCCACTCCATCTTGGTGCCTTTGATCCTGGCCATGGCCAAAGCTGAATTTTGGCTCCCCAGGGCACCTGGAGCATGTCACAGCTGTGGGTCTGGCCGCAGATGGGGTGCTTGCAGTTGAAGTTCTGACTGTCTGGCCTGTGCCCTGGGAGAGACCTGGAGCCAGTGCCCATCTTCAGAGCTGCAGCTGGGAGCCCTGTTCCTGCCCTCCCCCAGCTGGTTCCACAGACACCAGAGGAACTGAAGCTGTCTCCATGGGTGACTGAGCAGCCACCAGACCACAGCAAATCTTCCCTGCTCACACTCACGTCCTCAGCAGCACACAGCAAAGCTCATTACAGTGCTCAGAGGTGGAAGGAGCTGCCAGGCTCAGAGCTGTTACCCCTCAGCAGAGCCACACGAGTGTTTTGAGATGATGCAGGCTGGCCAGGTGTAGGGATGGCACGTGCCTTCCCTCCAGGCATGGCCTGGCCGAGGGCTCGTCCTCTCCCTGTTTGCTTTCCCTCATCATGTGTCACCCTTGTGCACGGCATCCTGCTGTGGCCACCTTGGTAATGGTGTGGTCTTGCCCAGCATCTTTGTCATCATGGGGCCACTGGCCCTGTCTCAGGTGAGGCCAGCAGCCAGCTGAGTAGTCACAGGTAACTGTGGGCCTGGAGAGGATCTGGGACAGTCACTGCCTGCGGTGACATGCCGGAGCCTCACGCCAGCCCGGGCTGAGCCACCTGTCCACACCCCTGCTCAAGCCTGAGTTTGATCCTCCCCAATTACAGCTGCCTCAGTTCTCCCCGTGACCTTCCCTGTTGCCTCATGCAGTGCCTCTCACTGCCTGCCTTTGAAGGAAGCTGAGCCATTAGATCAAAACAAAAATCTTGCCAAAGAAAGTATTTACAGGCTCCTCATGGCGCCTAGAACAGAAGACAGGAGATGTTGCAATTAGGTGTAGTGGCATTGCAGTGACTCAGCTCACACCCAAGGCTGGGAGTGTGCAGGAGACTCAACAGGGACATGGGAGAAACCCAGAAAAAGGCAGGATCAGGCAGAGAGGAGGCAGCAGGGACAGCAGGGATTAGGCAGTGGGGAAGCACTTACCTGGGGATGTCCCTGTCTGACCTCTCACATGAACCCCTGGAAGGAAGAACCAGCCCCTGTGCCAAACTTGTCAGCCCTGCTCCTGCTGCTGGCACCTGTGTCCCTGAGATCACAGATCAAGCTGTTCTCCACCACCTTTCCTTGCTGGCTGTTATCACCCCCATCTCCCATGGTGTTACTCCCAAGGGGCAGCCACAGTGCTGTCCTGTCAGCAGCAGTGGGGATATCCATCCTGCTGTTTCAGACCAGCTGGGTTCAGAAAACCCCAGCCCTGCTCACCCCACACATGGTTTCAGGGTTTAGTCTGTGTTAAAGGTGCTGGCTGGCTCATGAAACCGTCTTATCTCTGTCCATCAAGGACATCAAGGACCTTCCCTTCCCTGTCCAAACAACTCACAAAATGCAGGACAGGTTGGGGGGAGGATGTGTGCCAGTGAGTCCCCAGGGCAGCCATGCCAGGGTGGGCCTGGCACAGGGTGCTCTGGCCCCTCATCTCTCAGCCAGTCGCCAAATGAGATGTTGGGAAGAAGAACTTGGTTAAGTAATTCCTCTTTCAGTTTCTCTGCTGTCCCCATGACCCCACCACCCTGGGCAGTATCCAGGCAAGAGATTCACTACCACTGTCCTTGTGTGACCCCATCTGCACTGCTCCTTGCTCTCCATCCCAGCCTCCTGCTGCTCCCTGTGAGGGAGGAAGGAGTGTGAGCAGGACACACACCCCATGATGCCCAGTGGCACCTTCCTCCAGAGCAGCTGGTGGCTCAGGGACATGCAAGGGCTTCCCTGGACACATCCCAGGAGTTGTGGTGCAGGGACACACACACTGACTTCTGTTGAGAGCATTTTCCATCTTGTCCTCATTTCTTCCCATCCTTAACTTTGCTGTACTGCTGCATGGTGCAGCCCTGAGACTGGAGTGCCATTGCCCAGGAGTAAAATGCCAGGATGGTGGTTCTAGTTAAAGAGGGTGAGCGGATCCAACACCTTCTCTTGGTCCCCCCACACTTGCCAAGGACAAGATGTCTTGGGCTTCTTTTCCCCAGGGTGGGGCCCCCATTCCTTTTCACCCCAAGGCATGCCAGCTTGCAGCCCCCCAGTCTTGGCTGCCAGGTTGGAGTCTTGGTGTATCGCTTTGTCCTTTAAGTGCTGAGAAGATGCACAGTGAAACAGACTCCCCTTGGAGTGCTCAGAAACAGGAAAATCTCCTGGGCTGGGAAGGATGACACAGGAGGAAGCTTTCCAGAATACCTGCTGCTTTTCCCAATCTCTCTTCTCCTCAAGTGTGATTTCCCTGGGAGCTGGCACACTCTGTACCCACATCAGCCTCCAGCAGTGTCCCCAGGGTGTCCCTGTGTCCCTGCTTGGGGTTACAGAGCTCCAGGCCCTTGACAGACCCTGGAGCACCACCAGCACAGAGGAGACATGGCTGGGAATTTCAGCACCCATTTCTCCTCTGTGCCTGGGTGAGCCTCCCACTGTGGTGGGAGCTGGAGAGGCAGCATGGCCTGGACACACGGGCAGGCCCTGCCTGCACTGCCCAAAGGCAGCCTGCTTGTCCCTGCAGCCCAGAGAGGCAGCTGGTGTCCCCAGGGCCACTTCCCACGGCTGTGCCAACAGCCAAGACCTCTCAAAGCTGCTGGATTGGGCCTGGCAATTTGGAGCTGAAAGGGTTCCAAGGCCTCTCCCAGCACTCTAGCATGGCTTCTCAAGAGGCACCACTTTAGGATCCAAGAGGTGTGTAAATGAAAAGGAACAGCCTCGTTTCATTAAGAGGTTGAAGAACTGGCAGCTTTGGGCATTCTGTCAAACTCAAAGATCTCTGCCAGCACCTAAATCCGATAAGTCATGTGTTTGGGCTGCTGGCAGCGTGCTGGGAAGCCAAGGGTGAGATAAGGGAGACATAACTGGGCTGGCACCAAGGAAACTCCTGCAGGGGGGAGACAGGGATCTTTCTGTTGCCACCCTAGCTGTCTGCACTTTCCCAGAGGGCACAGCAGCAGACTTGCAGTTGCACTCAATGATCCTTGTGGGTCCCTTTCTACTCAGGATATTCTGTGACTCTGTCAGACCATCCTCAACACACAAAGGCCACAGGAAGACAGGTCTTCTCCTGAAAATTTATGTTTTTCCCTCTTCTGAGAGCAAGGGAGAGTTAAAAGTTCACCTAACCCACTGCTTTCGAGGAAGCTGGAACAGGGCAGGCACTGCTGTAGGTTGCTGCATATGGGGCTGGAATTTCAGCTTACAGATAAACCAGAGAAACTTGGGGGATAGAAGGAGCATCTCCATGAGGGATGAGCTCTGGCTAAAGGAGAACAAAAGTGGGGTGCAAATCCTTGAAATTAAACCCTGGGAGGGGTTTTAAATGATAGCTAATGGGTGAGATGGGTGGGCAGTGCAAAAGGGAATCATCCAGAGGTAAATCCTTCCCTGTGAGGGTGGTGAGGCCCTGGCAGCTCACCTGAGGATCTGAGAGCTGAAAGGTTCAAAGAACCAAAGCTTGACCTCGAGATCTGCTCTGTCCTGCTCTCCAGAGGCTCTCCAGGAGCCAGAGCCCTCTGCAGCCCAAAATCCAGACTGGTTTTCAATGCCTGAGGTAGCAAAGAGGGAGCAAATTCCTGCTGATACCAGGCAAAAGGTGCAATGCTGCAGACACAATCCCCTATGGAGTGACTGCAGGCACCCAGATTGCCCTGTTGATGTAAATTGCCAGTTAGGAAATGGAGAAATTTGTTAATTTTTTCCCTTTTCATCTATTTATTATGGGGTTCTTTTTATTGTTTATTACTTTCAGTGCAGCACTAAGTAGGATGGAGGATTCTCTTCTCTGATGCTGGCTTGGTGGCTCTTGAAATAAATCTTAAAGAATTGCCTTTTCCCACTATTTTCTGTCTGCCTTTCCCCATCACTCTGTTTTCTCAGTTTTTCTTGTGTTTTTGGGGTCTGACTTTTTAAAGCACCCTGTATTTCTGTTTACTGCATGGATTCTTCTCTCCCCAAATTGAATGTATTCAGGTCGTGATCACTGTTCCCTAGGCAACCACCAATGAAATTATGGAATGATCAAGAATTAATAGCTTAAGTTTAAAAAATTAAAATGGTAATTGGAAGACTTCATAAATCTGCTGAACGAAGGCATTCCCACCTGAGCCACTGGTTACTATGGAGGGTCTGGGGACAATGATCTTGGTTCAGGAATGAGGGAAAACAAAACACCACCCACCAGCCTGTAAAGGTAAATTCAAACAAATCTGATAAAGGGCTGCTTCTTTTCTGTCAAAATTCTGAGGGGATGCTTTGGTTAACAAAGGAATTGAGGCTGTACCTGTATAGGATGTAGGAAGAGCTGGAACTGAAGTGGTTTTGCAGGGGGCTGGCAGTGGAGATGAGGCAATTCAATGTTGCTCTCATTGCCAGGGGAAACAGCAGAGTGATTGTGGAGTGCAGTGCCCTGATGGCCATGGTGGCAGGGATGGAAGAAATCCTCCAGCCTGCCCTGTGACTCCTGACAGTGTCCAGGCTCTTCAAAAAACTCCCAGAACCAGCTGCAGAAACAGATTCAAGCACATGCCAAGCTTCCCAGAGTCATTGGCAGAGTTCAGGCTTTGCTGGGACCTTTTGTGTGCTTAGTGAATATTAGGAACACACCCTGGTGTTTGGAGCAATTGGGAAGGGGTGACCAGCCCGTGGCAGAATGAGCTCTGTGCAGGACACCCTACCTGGAGATGCTTCTTCCAAGCCCTGCACACAGCCCCATGGTGGGCTCAGTCAGAGGGTTCATACCCTGGGGGTTTTTTCATGCTGCCTTGCACCACTGCTCCACCTTCCACCATCAGCACATGGAGCTCACTCCTGCTTCACATGAAGCTTTTGTGGGAGCAGCTGCTCCTCTCAGCTCCTCATGCAATGAGCAGTCGCCTTCCAGGTCCAATTTGCTCCTGCTTGCACCCAGTGGCTGGTGTTCCATGGCTCTGAAAAACACCTTAACATGTGAGATGTTCTGTGGGACAAGAACCAGGTCCCCACCGCCCTCACCCACCTCTGCTTCCCCTTTGCTGCGGGGGCTCAGGGGGCAGGCACCTTCTCCAGGCAAACCCCGGCCTCAGCCCACCTGATGGGAAAGGTTTAAGTGCACCTACACCTCTTTTATGGAAACGGTGCCTGCTTGAGGTGTAGGATTTATACAAGGGATGGGATACACAGATGCATATGCTGTGCCACACACTAACTCCTGCACTTGTTAACCTGTGAGTGCCTGTTCCGCAGTCTCAGGGTCCTTTCTGAGTAGTTCTCTGGTCTCTTTTATAAAGTAATGTGAAAAAACTCGGCCCCAGAAGGCAGCGCTGGGAGCATGGCCTGAACGGATCCCGGGGCTCTTG